GGATCAATTACAGTCATGCTAGTAAAGTTAATGTTTTACTGTATTACGATGATCTAGTGCCTATCTAAAAAGTAGACTCCAGGTAACTTTAAAGAAATTACACGAATACTGCCAAAAAATGAAAAATAGAAGTAAATTTGTCAAAAACTAACATTTTGATGATCAGAAAGGGATACTATAATATCCACTTTATATCAATCAGACCATCGGATTTGTAAATTACCTATGGATAAACTTCCAGACAAATGAAAAATTTACAGAAGCTGTAAATATCATGGCAGGTAACACAATAAAATTAGGTATCTTCTGAAGGAGTCTTTATTCAAAGACACTTACTGCAAAACATGCATATCAAAATCTAGGTTTTGAAAATAAGAGTAAACAAAAAAACTTCGCAATTGTTTGCAACAAACGCTGCATCAATATGTGAAATGAGTGAAATCCCGCTGGTACTAGATACAAACTATCATTATCAAGAATACAAGACAAGCATTTGAAGGCACACAAATTCAAAAACACATTCAGAAATTGAATTGATATTGTATATATGTTTGGGCCTCAGGGCGGCCATGATTGATTCACCTTAAGGGTTTGCCCATTCACTTTATTAGTGTTGTATTGTTAAAACTACATCATTGCAACAAATAACAAGAGAAGAACACAGAGCCATATATCAACTTGACCCCATTCACTCGAAGGTCACTTTCCCAAAGCACGCAATCATCAGCATTTCATACTGTATTTCATAACTCAATTAATTCAATATCACAATTAACCAACAAATTAATTCACTTAATGTTAAGAAATATAGATCTATTACTACAACATAAAAGTATTCACGGACCATATATATGAATACTGGATATTTGACAGAATACTAAACGGAACAATAACATGAAATAAAAATAAATTTAAAAAATAACAGAGGTAGTTTATATATTGCAAATGTACAATATATAAAACTCTCCGCATATAAATAAACTCCCAGATAACAAAACAACAAAAAATACCTATTAATATACTAGTGGTTAAACTTAATATTTCAAGATAATGCTCTATTACATTATACTGCTGGTAGATATGTTTTTGTTTTCTAAATTTAAAACAAATCTCCAATGCACATGCTTAGAATATTAACATATTTCTTACATATTTATAGCACTGAAATCATAAATAAACTGCTAAAACTCATTTCGGTGTTTAAATTTAAAATGCTAGTCGAAATAACCAACAACACATTTCTTAACGGTAAGTATGGTTGCATTGACTGGAAACGCTCGCAGTAAATTTGCTTTAATTCCTTTGAGAAACACACGGTAACCTTCTGCTTTAATACTCTTGCGTATACAGTCAATGGTACCATGGTACAATGGGGTTCCTTTGACGCCATCAGCCTGAATACGTGTTTTGATTACATCTATTGGGTGCGTTACAACCCAAGTCATTGTACCTGCGATCCCACCAGATACGATCAATTCAAGCCAATTTAGCTCGTTTTGTGGATGTCGGGATTGGAAATAATTACACACCGACTTATCTAAACCAAAATATATTGCAAATCCTGGAACATCTCTGATGAGTGTAGAATTCATTCCACGATAACATCCCTTTATTCCATCATCAATATATATCTTGTATATACAATTTATGGAGCCATTGTATGTATGACTACGTGTTTTATAGTAACAATGGCTTTCCCCTTGCCCTTGTAGCTGTACTCGTACTTTAGCCAGTTCCACGGGACTTGCCACAACACACTGCACAGCACCAGCTGCAGCACCAGACATGTAATGACTGAATACAGAATCAATGTTAAACTGTCTCTGAAGATTGGCTTGCACGCCAAATAGGATGGTATTTAAAAATGCTTGTCCAGCAATTGGCGACGCAAGCCCTTTATACAGACCAAAAAACTAAGGGATAAAACAAATAGCAGTTTCACATTAGTAACATTTTTATATTGTGTTGTAAATTGTTATTAAATTCCAGAATATATGGCGTTAAAACAAACAAACCTCACCCCTTCGCTTTTAACAATGGAGGTCAAACAATGCCACGTAGATCTATAGGCATGTGTTGGTACCGCTCCAAGCTTCATAGCACGCACCTGCATACAATAGAATACAATATAAGTTATTACTGTATAATAACATAAAGCTGAACTTTATTGACCAAGTTTCTAATAATCAAAGTAGTCTTATATTTACAGCCTGTACTACAAAAACGGTGTCGATTATGCATGTTGGCAAAAATATATCCTAAAAAAATGTCTATGTGGTAGCATAAACAAGTTTAGAAAAGTCCTTTTTAGCATTTAAATTCGGATTTATTCTAATTCCTTTTAAAATGAAATTACCAAATATCAACTTGAGCCACACTGTAAAAAGTGGTTTCAAGTTTGAATGATGTCGTTTTCAGTTGTGTATGCTTCCTTGTCATGGTTGCTAGCAATCAAAAAATAACTTACTCCATTGACAACAGGTGGCCGACCACTTTGAGTTTGTAAACGAACCTAGAAATAAAAGACAGTAGTTTATATGTTGAATGGGATATATGTATATTTCTTTGGACTTGAAATAAAAATCGGTATGACATCACTGCCAACGTATCACGTGATAACAACTGACTCACCTTTATTGTATCGAGGGGGTGACCGACAACAACCCCGGCAATACCTGTAATGAAAATGTTATAATAACATAAGTTATTTTCCATCGATGTGACAGTTCCGCTAGCGTCCGTCGTTATGTTCCATTCATACGACAACTGATGACGAGTCTTTCAGATTACGATGATAAAGATCGAATATATAAACTCGGAAATTACATGAACTGTCTGTAACTATATCATTTTTGTTTTGTTATTTTGCTGTCAATAGCTTTATTATTATTACCTACACCGTTCTATTGCTGTTCATGCATGCAGTAGCACTCGGTGTTTTGCTGGAAAAATGGATAGATACTCGTTCTAATTAAATAGTACTTTAAGCTTTTACGATATTTATTTTACAAATTTTCTGTTGCGTTTCAATAACACGTGTTTTTTAAGAGGAAATAACGCTCTCCTCCCCCGAGCGTACACAGATGCATCATGGATATTCTCAAAAAGTTTTTAAGTTTTTCCACACAAAAATATTATTACATTGGCTCAAATTGCTATATATAAATATTTGCGCGAATTACAACTGTTTCAGGTGAGTATGAATCGTACGTGAATGGTACGCAAATCGTACGTGGAACAAACTGTACGCTGTCTTCGCACTCGTTGAGCAACTGCCAATTACACTATCAGTGCAGTCAAATCAGTAAGAAAAAGATAATATGGACCCCATGGTATACATGAAAATGTAAATACAAAATAATTTTCAGTGAATTCGATATTTGAAAAAAACTCATGCAGCTCCGATGGACAAGTTGACAATCCCAATATTGCCAAACTGCCAGTTTTGAACTCTCATTTATTAGGATTTAAGTTAAGGAAAAATGCATCAATATGACAAAATTCTCTTGCTAATATTTTATGGGTTTGTCGTGAGTGTACATGTATGTATTAAAGTATGTACACCCATTTAGATTACCATAGTACAAATGCAGTGTAAACAAAATTATCGAGAGTGTTAATCGAGAGTGATCTTGAATGTGTTAAAAATTAGCCGAAATGCTGTGACACTATCTAATTGGTGGTGGGAATTGCCACGTCAGTTTATAAAATAGTGAACAAAGAAACTAGTTGTGTGGCCGCGTGATGTCTCTAAACTTCAAAAACATTAGCTCAGTCGCAAGATCCGGTTAATTATAGGGTTTAATTTCAATGATTTAAAACTTAAAAACTTACCACCAAAACATCCGCCAACGAAATCCAAAGTTTTATACATTGCGATTTTTGATTTGGGGTAGACACCGTCGTCGAAGTATTTGGCAAGTGTTCATAGACGTCGTTACCGCTCTTTGTGGTAGTTGGTTGTGTCAGGTGAGGTCTTAGACATATGGATATATATGGCTACATACATCAATGTGTACACTTAAGCGCTATGTATAGTGGGTAATGACGAATGTACAACCCGTCATATATCACAACTGTACGAATTTGAATATATCTAATTCAACTCTCTTTATTTATTTATTTGACATCATCATAATTACATACAAAAATTAATTAATATATTCTTCATTGTTCCTTAATGTTCATCAAATACTAAATATACACTACATGTAGATTATTATTCTATTATTGTTGTTCTTTCGTTTTAGTTTTTATGGCCAATAAAAAATTACCACCCGGAGCGTTTATGTCACTGTTTTTGAGTGGTGTCAAGGGACACCTTAATTAGCTAAGTTGCCGAACAGAGCGTGCTTGCATACCACATCAGACAAAGAAACACATTTGAACTGCCCCATTTATTTGTCTATGGCAGTGTGGTACATCGCACCTACACCATTAATATATATATTTCTGTGAGTTAAGCTCATTGGCTATTCTCTAAGCGTTATTTAAATGTTACATTTCTCCCATTTTGAAATGAATGTGTCATTGATCTTTCGTCCACACACTACACAAATCCTGCACAATGTTTGCAGCAGCGCCGAAATTAAATGATTATGAAAACTTATATTAGCAAATATTAGCAAAGCTGCTAAAGAAAATGTCTATATATCTATAAAAATAATATAGCTGTCTTTAACAAAGGATATACTATATATACGATATATATATATATATATATATATATATGTGTGGTTACACTATTGTATTGTGTAGTCATCATCTGGGTAAATAACCGCCAAGTA